CTCAAGCTTGTTCAGTCTTTGTGTTGCACTTGAGTCTTGAGGGTGGTCCAGGTTTTCATGCACGCGAAAGCAAAAAAACAGTAGCAAGTCAACTTTCGAGGATCTGGATCGGAGTCACAGTGCAGCGCGAGGACATTCTCTTTTTTGGCAGCTCCTGTTGGCTGAATCCCCACTTCGAAATTTGCATAGGCAAATGAAAACTTGGAGGTCGTTATAAGTGGGGTCATAGACCCTCTGGTTGGATTCTAGCTATATTTCTCCTAGTCTTTGCCCCACTTATAACTACCCATCCATGAACCTGAGGCACACCAGCCTTCCCAAAAGCCATGCAGGGCTATGAGCTGGCTGCTTTGCTCACTCAACTCCTCCACGAGAAGCATCACATGCGAGTTGAGTCTTGGTGGTTTAAACTACGCATCCCATCCACAAAGTACTAGGAAAAATGATGCGATCTTGCACTATATTCGGGGCGATAGTGTCCCAATTAAAGTACTTACAAGCTTGATGGAACAATTGAAAACGGATTGGCAGCTTTCCAAAACCCTTCCTGGAGGGCGAATGCTAGTAATCAAAAACTACTGGATGCCAAGCGGTCCGGCATAGAAATGTTCATGAGCGAGGCCAGGCTTAGAGCGCCACTGCCATCCAGCACGGCCATGATTTGCTGGAGCCTTATGTCATCTCGACGAGGGAATGGATCTTTAGGTAGTGTACATGATATATTCTCGATGTCAACCTCCTGAGGTCATACCATGCCGGCCTCCACTCCTGCTTCTCCTCCGACCCATCGGGTCCGCTGAGGGAGAGGAAGTTGTTCCGGTTGTCCACTAGCAGAATTTTCCTGGGCTTCTTCCAAAATATTGGATTTAGGAACTCCTATAGGAATCGATTCCCTCATGCCCCACTGGAAGCAGTAGGGAAGATAGTGTCCAGCTGCTCCACTCTGCATCATGCGTTCCCCCGTGCATGGCAAGCTTCTTTTCCCACAGATCGTTCTGCCGCGAATGCCTGAGGCTTCTACAAGCGGACACAACTATAACTATGCTACAGCAACATCATTCAGACTGATGGAGTTATGTGGAACTAGACAGGTACACCAAAGCCCTCCCATCTTAGCTGCGGCACCATGCAGAGACTGCGAGCCCGCCCTGCTTCAGCGGTGCCACCTCAGATTGGTCTGCCCCAATGACGTCCCAAAATTGAGAAAAGCTCTGCTCAACTTGTAGCTGCTTCAGAACCTTGCACTCTGTACCGGTTGTGTCTCATGCAGAAGCGCTTGCGAAGAACAAGGACAACAGCAAAAATGTCCGCTGAATGAGTGTGATGGTCTGTGCGGCCAGACACCGCACAGCCCGGACAGCTCCATCAAACAGAGGTCTAGAGCAAGGCATGCCAAAGTTGAGGCAGAGCTCATGCGCAGAGGGTCCTCAAATTTGGGTTCAGATTGAACTCTCGCGTGGAGCATCACCAAATTTCGGCTACAGAATGCCCAGGACACCCAAAAACAACAAAATACACCACAAAAACACGAGATGCTTAAATTTGGTTTCATCCCTTTGCTAGAAGCCAGCCACTCTGGTAAAAAAAAACAATCAGATAACATAATAGTAGCGGGAAAATGCGAAAAATCGTACTGAAAATACTAAGCCACAAACGAATGATAAATGCAATTCACAAGAATGATGATGAGAAAGCCCCCTTTTTCATAATGGTCAACTGATAATACCAGTAAGAGGGATAGGAACGATATCGATATGGATGATGGTAATACGAACTCAGCAAAGGCAATGGCGGCTGCAAAAAAAACAACTGTTCATAACTCTTCCGACAGCTACTACATTACAGTGCTTGCTATACTGGTTGTTGCCATTCATACTATCAAAGCTGAGCTGCGAGACCAATATCACTACTATTGTTACGTGTTTTCTATATTAATCAGAAGACTACTACTCTGCCGTTCATTTCTATAAACCAATATTAACACTCTTATCACCTTCCTGAAGAGCATGACTTTTCGACTTTTCTGATTATGACCTCCATTCTATTCCTACCATCACCGCCGAGGCAATGAGAAGAATCGAAATGATACTGTGATGAACAGTGATAGTAGAAAGCTGCAGTCATAGTAGTAGTCATGGTAGTAGTAGTGGTAGTACTACTACTAGTAGTACCAGAAATAGAATGGCAGTTTCATTCAGAATGAGGACATTCACAATGATCTCTGTGGCAGCAGTATTAGTAACAGTAGTAGCGGTCGAATCAGTACGAACAGCAAAACTAATCTCAGAAAATAGGGATACTCAAAGAGCTTGCTGCAGTAATAACAGAAATCAGTGTACTAATAGTTGCAAAGCAGTGACAACAAGAAGGCTCCCAATGGATAGTTGATAGTACTGTGTGGCCAGGTATTGCATTTGCTTTCCCCAAAGAATGGGGCGTTGGGGAGCACGGGCGCAGCCCCCCCCCCACACTCACAACATGGTGAAGATGAGAACATGAACTAAAGCATTGTCGTCCCGCAAGTGCGGAGCCAAACAAAATTGCGGCCAACGGAAATTCGCATACGAATACGAGTAAGAATAATGGGATCAACACTGGTACCGACATTCTCGGTGCTGGAAAGAGGAAAAATTAGCAGTAACGGTACAAGGAAAATGAAGCAGCAATGATGACACTACTAGTAATAGTGGTAGTCATACTGATAGTAATAGTAACAACAGTAGCAAGAGTAGCCACATGAAAAGCAATGGTAGCGATAATAGTGATAGCGATAATTATAGTAATAAGGTGGTACGTCAAAAGCCTCAGAACGAAGATGGCCAACTTGAGAAGTCTTGAGCATAAGGCCAGGAGGAGGCCCAGAAAGCCAAGAAGCCGGGCAACCTTAAAGCCAGGAAGCCATGAGGCCCACAAGCAAAGATTCCAGAGAGGCCTGAGAAGCCAACAAGACAGGAAGCTACGAGACCAGGAAGTCAAGAAGAAGTCCAAGACACCCAAAACAAACAAATACACAAAAAACACAAACAGAAACAGTACCCAGACACGGGATTGCGTAGCAAAGTGAGAGTTGAACACTTTCAGCTGCAGCAAAGGTGTAGTTGAATAGGATCAGGGCTTGGGCAAGCAGAGATCCGCCATGACTGATGAAATGATCTTCAAGGCCCAGATACCAGAGTACACAACTTCCTAGACCACCACTCATACCAAGGTCTTCGTTGCCGGACACATTTCACAGCAGTGCGTCAAAATGCCATGAGAGCCCCGAAAGCAAGTTAGCCCAGAGGCCAACTCCCGTGCTTTTGGCAGGCCCAGCGCTTCCTGCAGTATCAGCGACTATGGAGGAATTGGGCTTCCCACTTAGTGCAAGTTTGCCTGACGTACGCTTTGTGTCTAAGGGGCTCAGCCTATGGGTTTACTCTGTCTGCAGCAAGGGCCTCCGCTTCACGCAAACTCAGGTGCTGCGGCGGAGGGGGCTGCTTCACATGCAGCATTTGCCTGAGCTTGTGAACACAGCACTGAATCCAGATTCTTGATAAAAGGCCCGGTTCTTTGAGAGCGTGATCAAATGTTGGAGTTCTCATCCACAAGAAGCTGCTTCAACTTGCTCGAGCATGGTCTCTGGTTCTTGTTTCCGGCAAAGCAATCATCTTGATGAAGATAATGGTTCAAGAAAGGTGTAGTTCCCGGCCGATTCAGTCCCGCTTCATCCTTTTCACACTAACATGCACAAAATAGATGCATTTCCACAAGCAAACACAACGGGAGCTCTGCACACGTGAGATGAGGCGTTTTGCACAATATCGGTTGCCTGATCTACTGGCTTGGGCGCGAAAACCTGCAGAAAGACCCCTGCTCGGCTTACTGTCAGCACTGGCGGCAGTGCAAGAACTTGAAAGGTGATGTGTTCTCGTAAGTGAGGTTCTGAGTCCCATATGTTCGGTTCCAACTGCAGCTATCATCATGTTAACCAACTTATAAATGCCCATGAACCTCCAAGAAGACTTTCTGGTGCTTGAGGGAGTATAGGAGAGCGGATTCCTTTCATATTCCCCTTGTAATGCCCTATAAGCGTCCCTATGCTCACTCCCCCACTCTCCCAGAAGCACCCAGAAGCACCATAAGGTATAGCTGGGCTCCAAACCCTAAGGACTAAATCCAAAGCTCTAAAGTAGCTTGAATGTTCCATACAATGCGGGAATTGTCTAAAGTCGCTACTACCCATGGAGCTCTCTGTAGAATCCTGAGCAGTCTAGTTCTATTCAGCTTTCTTTAGGAGCTCCAGTGCTTCAGAGCCGCACAGGCCTCGCCGCCTCGCTCCCCTCCTCTTCGATGCCATCCGTCTCCTTAACTTTTACTTAATGGTCCTGGGGAAGAGTGGGGATGCAGCAGGGTGCTTCAGGGGGAGTCGGGGAGCAAATCTAGAGAGAATGGAGACTATTGCAGGGAAGCCTATGTGGATCCATTCCTGCACTCTGCCTTGAGCGCAGGTTAGTTCCTTCAAATGGTCGCAACTACAACAAAGATTGGGTGGATCTGCCAAAATCCTTGTCCAATAACATACTCGCATAATGCTACGTACGATCATCATTCTTAGCATGAGCAAACGCATCATGTTTCTCGCTATGGTAAAACTCATCAAGGGTCCTGTATATTGGTTCTTGATCAGGTCGGAGGCAACTTTCGGGGCTTGGGTGTGGCTAAGTGGTTGGCGTCCCAGATTGCATCGCAAATACTTAAATAAGGTGAAACCACGCCTTGAACTCCTAAAGCGGGGCTGTCCTGTGATCCTGAGTCAACTCTCTACCTACTGGTGCTTAGAGGAAAAGTGGTAATATAAATTCCATTTTGAAACCCCGAGATGGCGCAAAGACTTTGGCCGCTCTCAACTTGCTGATGCTGAAGGGGGACGGGGGCAAAAAGGGTTCTGAAACTCTTGATTAAAAGGAAGTATGCAGGGATAACGATCGGGATCCGCCCCCCAACCGCGCCCTCAGGCATCATCAAGTGAATTTACGCATATACCCAGCACAAAACCACTCACTTGCAGAAGGCTGACACAGCCGTGGGTTTCTGGACAAGCGCCCAGTAATAGCTCCTGTCTTATCGAGCAAATCTTTACCAGGGTGCTGTGACTTGGAGAGTGTAGGTAGTATTCCAGGCATTGCCGTCCCAGACAATCCAGCCACGCGCATTCGTGGGGCACTCCACGTCGTCCTATCAGCAACTGATGGCTTGTCAAGACTCCATGTCACTCCATTTGCTCACGTGTTTATTAGACACGAAATTCGAGCCTTGGCATAGGCACGTCCCATCCATATGTCGCTTTCATGAACGCCACCGTCTGACAGCAGCCATATCCCCCAAGTCGCGCGATAGAAGAGCCTCAGATCAAGCAGAATGCTCCGAAGCATAGTCTCGAGTCTCGAGCTAATCTAGCGCGGTGGATGCAAGAAGCACCCTGGACACGACAAGTGGGTGACTGTGAGGTCCCGGATGGTGGCCGAGGAGCTGTTTGCCATTCAGGTTCTGGTAGATGGGGCGATACCTCAGGAAAGTTCCAAAGCGTTGAACACATGGTGGTCACGGACAGAAATCCAACATTCATCAATCTGATCAGGCCCTGTGACGCCTGTAGCGCTGTTGGCTGTATGCTGGTCTTGAAAAACGTACCTCAGCCATCGGCGAAAGGATAGCGCAGCAGAAGCGCATGGGCGGTGAGCTTGAGAGGCATTTGTAACCCCCATGCCCTCACAATCTCTTGATGTTGCTGGCTTGTTCTGCGACAACCTGCGCTTGGACTATCCGAAACGTGTCAGCTCTTGCACTTCGAGGTGCCCATGTAGTTTTGGAGGACTGCCTCCGCACCAGTAACCCAAACATAATCTGGATGAGCGTGTTCCTGCACTGCAATTCGCTGCTGCTGAAGGGAGAGCAGGGAAGGTCATGCCTACCTGGTCCCTCATAGCACTGCCAGTATGTCAAGTCGGCGACTCCCGCTCGAGGCGTCTTGACAAGCCACTTAGCTTAGCAGTCTTTTGGCAGAAAGATCGCACCTGGCTAATCCACCTGTTTAGGGAATGGGGGAATGGACCCCTGCAGCAGCCCCTAGATAATCTCCCCACTAGGCACCCTTGTCTCTAAATATCATAGTCCTAGTAGTTTGCATGTTCTTTTCCAGTCTCCAGGAAATAACAGGAAGAGTGATTTCAATCATTGAGCCTGCTCCGCCACACCGATGATGCTCCTTGGTATTAAAAGGCCAGTTTTGGGGCTCATGAAACTTCCACTGCTTAGGGTTCAAGGTAAAGGATTTGAAGCTTGCCACTCCCATTCAAAGCCCCGCTCCCTTTGAGCCATAGAATCGCTTCTCGAATCAGCACGTCGGATGTCCACATTGAGTCCTGATCGTGGGGCGGCATTGCGTGGCTGCAACATGAAGACAAAGTCAGTCTGACGAAACTAAACATCTTCACCACGTGGTTTTTCTGGCCTTCGTCATGCTGAATGTGTTGGTGCACAACTCTATAGCCAACAGAGCGCACCATGACATGAGGTTGGACAGACATCGGCCCGTCCTCACCATCGGCATGCGGCCGAATGGAGTTCTCTTGGCCGCGCCTTTGCAAATGTGGACTTGCTGCACACATGGGAATTCTGTACATGGGGGTGAACCCTTATATGCCTTGTATTCCCATTGAATTTGACAGTCCTCATGCGTGCACCCTCAAGAGCGGATCCCTGATTTTTAGAAACCGTCACATGCTGTTCTTCTGAAAGGTCTCTGGTGTCTGTCCCGCCTCAGGACTTCTGGCCTTGTGCCCACAAGTCCCTTCCTCGGATGTCACGCTTCGGGGGCGCGTAGAACAAAATGCCCCATATTGCCCTATGCAAACATTCAATCCAACTGGTTCCAGGCCAGGAAGCAGACTTGACCAGCTGATCGGTTCGGGCCGTTCCTGCCAAGACAACTGAACCGGTCTCTGAAGCCAGGCCGCTTTTCTGAGGAGCTGGTATTTGCCTCAGACCATCTCTGGGCTGCCTGCAGCCAGGCGAGCGCCTGAACGAGATCGGCTGAAGCACAGGAGGTGAACCAAAAAAGTGATAATAGTAATAGTATTGATAATAGTACTAGTAATAATCAAAGTAATAATAGCAGTAGTAACAGTAGTAGTAGCAGTAGTAGTAGTAGTAGTAATAGTAAAGGCTCAAGATTTCGGATCAGGTTTGGGTGCCAGCGCCGCAGGGCGGGATAGCTACGTCCCTAGGCCAGTAGCTGCAAAGACTTGGGCGGCAAGCCCAGTCCCTGGCAAATCTTGATAGGTGGCCAGCACCATGGCACCAAAGGCTGCCCGATGCTACACCGTTTGCACAAAGTGCCACACGGGGTGGGTTTGGGACAGCCAACTGAAGTACCCCAACACGGTATACTGTCAGAGCTGCAGTAAGAAATTCCTGAAGCCCACCGGGGTGGCAACCCAGCAGCAGCATGTGGAGCGCAGCTAGCCAGCCGCTGAGCCAGGCCAAAGGCAAAGGCAAAGGCAAAGGCCAGGGCAAAGCCCTTGAGGGGGATTGCTGAAAACCAAAGCCTCAAATTTCGCCAACCCTCATGTCTGACATCTTCTTGGCCGTGAGCATGCATCAAACAGCTTACTTGAATTTACTTACTTACACATACACACACACACACACTTTTCCAAAAACCATCGTCTTCATCGATGATGCGTGAGCCTGGCTGGTTTTGACTGGAAGGAACTGCTCCTACAACAAGTATCATTATACCTCAAATTGTCAAAGCGCTGAAGCCCTCCATGCCTCAACTGTTGGCACATTCAATACCTTGAAGCCTCAATGAGATATACTCGCCTGTCAGACATCTTTCCTTCTTGGCCGTGAGCGCGCGCCAAGCACAGCTTTCAGATACCCTCCCAAGATCTACAGTAATTCTTGGCTGTCAGACATCTTTCCTTCTCGGCCACGAGCGTGCATCAAGCACAGCTTGCAAGACCCAAGGATTCCCTGCCGCGTACAGAAACTTAAATCTTTTGGCTGCTGCAAGCACATTGCTGCCTGTCCTTAAACTGAACAGCAGCTGTCATAAGCATTCTGCTTGCCAGCATACCGAAGAAGGCTTGCTGGACCTGGACTGCTTTCTTTCTCATGTCCTTCCCTCGCTTTGGAGCCACATTCTTGCATTAGTGGTCTTGTTCAGCACACGGACAGTATGCAGATAATTCAAAATCACAGCCAGCGCAACACAGTCTTTGGGCTGGGTTTGTCGAGGCGGCAAATTTTCTTCAACTTGAGCTTTGAGGCTTCCAATCCTTGAACGACGGACCTACACCTTTCGTGCCCAACAAACCAAGAGTTGGTGTGTTGGTTTATTCTTCCCAACCAACCCCATGCTTGCGCAGGCATCCACCCAACTTTATTTCCTTTTCGGGTTTCGGGCTGATGCCCTAGATTCTCACTTTTCTTTAACAAACCTGTCTAGACCAGGCAGGTGCAAGGTTTGGGCTGAGTCTGGTTCGCGGCATTAGTCTCCCGAAAGAGCATGGCTGGAGGCTGTTTAAAACCAGGCAGATCCAAGGTGTGGGCTGGGCTTGGCCCCGGGCCTCAAGTTTTTATTCAGATTCACACTCACATCACAATCAGTGCAGCACAGGTCTTGGGTCTGAGTCAATGAAAATTGACATGCCCAACACCCCCAAAGCCAGCCCTCCTCATTTCGAGACCTGAATCATTTTGGAGGCTTGAATTTAAAGATGATCCCTTACTAACTGCAACAGGGTGTTGACCCTCACCGACGTGCCCTCCTCGTACATCTTTCTGAGGGTTAATGTACCCGCCATCCCCTCCGTCCAAGCTCACCTCCATCACATCACGATCGGCACGACGATACTGCCGTTCAGGCTAGATGTCGCCGAGATGACAAGGAGGTTGGATGCTATTGTGGAAGGTTCCCGGCCATGGCTCAACCAGATTGAGCTCACGCCAATGGGTCGATCGCTCCACCCCCTGCTCGATGCCCTCAGGGCCGTTCTGGACGCACAGTGGGTGAAGTGGGAGTACGTACCTGATGACCACATCACTCGGCATTGAGGGAACCTCCGCCTAGAAGGAGCGTCCTGGCTCACTGGGGGCCACCCGAAAGCGGCAACCCATAGGTCCAGGCCCCTGCCCACCCGGGTAAGGCCGGGGGGCGTAGTGCCCGGTAGATCTACCGGACCTCGGCCAAAAGGCCATCTGAACACTGGACTCGCCTACGGGCGGCGCCGTGCAACCCCTGGAATAGTAATAGTAATAATAATAGTAGTAAAAATAAGAATAGTCATAGTAATCGTAATAGTAATAGGAATAGCAGTGCGAATAAGATGTAATAAGAATAAAGTGTGACAGCCGAGCTCTCCCAGCCCTGCCTCGGCGCGCCGCCGAAAGCGTTGGCGCTCCTTCGAAATACCGAAACAACCCGGCTATGCTCTTGTCTCTGTTGCTACATGAGCTTTAGCAAGCCAGTCTAAACTCCTCGTATCCCCCTTAATAACCCTTATAGCAGTCCCAGGAGTTTAGACTCTTTTTCCTACATCTGTCAAAGAATATTCGTGATTCCATCAAGGGTCTGTAACACGCTCACTGTGGGGTGCAGGAAACAGTTCGGACTCAGGTGATGTGTGGCTGCCGACATAGAGGGGAGTCGCAAAAGTGCGCTGCGATTGAAAGAAGCGCTGTCCCGGCCTGATCTGGCTTTGAGCCCTGGCAGAAGCAAGTCTCCAACTTCGGATCTTCTGCATGCCCAAACCCTTCCATTCCAAGCTGCTAAATATCTCTAAACAAAGCGAAGAAGCCACCCCAAATCAAACAGCACGAGGGGCCTTGCAGCCCATGCTGGCAGGGGCTCCAAACTACGAGCCATCCATGCGTTTGTTGTCAGACATCTTTGCCTTGACTGTCTCGCTACAATCCCACCATTAGCATGACGGAACTTTGCTCATTGCGCATGAACCCTGTTTTGCACTACTCAGTGCCACCAAATGATCTGAGAATGACAGCCCTTCATCTACACGAAGATTTTGAAGTTGATGGAAGTGAGACATCTATACCTTGGGTCTGCAGCCAAAGGCGACAGCACAGATACAAGCACAGGTTGCCCCTTCTGAATGCAATGCTGCCGCCCAAGGAAAAGCGCCGCTCGAAGAACGGGAACACCCCACAGCTGTCCTGGAACCATCTGTCTGACAGCACACTTCTGCCTGGCGAGAAATTCCAATGCAATGCAATGCAATGAAGTGTGATCGTCTGCAGGTTCTGCCTTCAGCTTGATTCCCCCAGTCTCCAAGGAATCGTCGAGAGGCGCCTGCCGCAGTGTTTTAACGATCCAAGCAGCACTGTCAAGCATGAGAGCCCTTTTCGTCTAAACCAATCAGCAAGGTAGTCCCTGTCTGGTCGCAATGCCGCGTACACAAAACACCCTTTGCAAACATGCCAATAACACTAATATTGGGAGGAAAAAGGATGCAAAATGACTCACAGCACTTGCAGGGGCTCCTGATGAATTGTTGGGTGCGATCTGTGGGGTTGTCAGAAATTAGGAGCCCTTTCTTGCCCTGTATTGGGGATCACAATACTAGGATTACAATACAGATGTTGGGCCTAAGGTCCAGACAGAACCTGATCTTTATACAAGCACATGTCAATGAGCCCGACGTCAGGCAAGCGAAGGCAGCTCGTTTCTTTTGCTGACATATCATGCATCTGCATCATTGCTCGCGCTCTGCAAGCATGATTTGCGGAGCAAATAATCACAAGTAAGCGGAGCCGATCTATGAAGTGGTCTGGCACAAGAAGCCAGTGAAGGAGCAAGACAAACTTGCTTTTTGGTAAGCCTCCCACTCCAAGCTCTACAGCATCAGGTCGTCTGGTGCCATTCCCACATGATGCAACATCCCAGTAGGACTGCAAGCCGTGAAGGCATGAATGAAAAATGTAACGTTCATGTCGCATCATGTCGCATTACAGGCACTACTACACTGCACGGAAAGAAGGTGCAAAATGCAGGCACACAGTGCCTGAGAAGCCTGACTCAGCTGCTGAACCAAGGAAGTCTGTCAGTTACACACCCGCTTCCATGCAGAAAACTTCATGAAATAAGAGATGAAAGCGACTAGGCAATGGCCAGCTCAGCCGAAAAGCAAGGAGGCTAAGGCAGCTGTGCAGCTTGACCTTTGCTCCAGAATGCGAAGCAGAGGTGTGCAGGATCTGGGGATTATTGAGTGGACATCGTGTCCGTAAGCGACCGAAAGTGTTCGGCAAAGCTTTGGTGCGTTGCCGTCCCGCAGGAGGCACCTTGCCTGTACGAATTGTTGGCCCCTTCTTTGGAGTCATGACTGCCGTTTGTGTTGGACCGTGGGATCCCATGGCTACATTCACAGGCGTGAGGCCAGTCCAATCCTCGCAACTGTTCTCGCTTTTGGACGCTGGTTTCCTTCTTGTGTGGCTTGAACCCTTTGGAGTCACAGGGGAGGCAGCGCATGCAGCGATGTTTCCTGCACGGTCCAACGCATCTATCCTGATGTCGTGTCCTCATGTCATCTCAATCTCACCATGTTGTTGTTTCATGTCCCGTCTTTCCATGTCCTGTCTTCGTGTTTGTGCTTAAAACAGTTCTAGTCCCCATGTCCGCGAATTTCGGACTTGCTTGTGTATCAGCCATCCGTGTCGTCATTCCGTTGCTCACCTGTCTCCATGTCAGGTTTTTCAATTGGGTGATAGAATTCAGCAACACCCTGTGAGCTCTTTACCTCGTTAGACTCCTTGACAGCGGCTGTCATGTCAGCGAAACTTAATTAGATACCGGCAAGCGCCAATCGGTGCTGCACGACATCCTAGCAGCCAGGCTGCATCTGGACCAGAGAAAGTTGTTGCTGCGCCTGTGCGCACGACTGATCACTCGTCTTCCACATGCAGCCTGCAGGGTGGCTTTTGATGAAACAGGTTCAAAGCCGAACTCTGTCCAGCTCCTGACATTAAACACTGGAAAGTTTCTCCCTCTCCACAAGGAAAAACGCCAATCTTCCGTAAGCCCTTGTAAGGCATGCCACAACATCCTCGTGCTTCACATGAGCTCACCTGGAGCAACACATTCGCAAACTTTGAGGTTTGCCCAGGGCTGCAAAGACGTGAAGGCTCGCGTTTGCCGAGTCAGCCCGCCAGCTCAAAACCCAAATCTGGGCTATGCAGCGGCAGGTAACTCCTCTCAGTAGCCTGACGTAGCCTTCTTTTTGTTCATAGTCTTGACTGCCTGGGCTTAATCCGTATGGTAGCGCCTAGATCCTGCAATAATCCCAACATCCTTTCAATCCCTTCCCGTATTCCCAAAAATGAAATGGCAGCAGGCTGAGAGTCGTTCAGGGTGAGACTATGCCTGGCAGTAAATGCATCTCCTTGCCTTTGACATGGGAAAAACTTGGAAGAAGCCGTCAACGGCTGAAATGGGAAACTTGAGGGCAATTAGGGTCACAGCTATCTTTTTTGTGCACCTGTCCGGCACCAGCAAGATGATCGTCTGTTGGGCTCAGGTAGTGATGTCATGGCCAAACAGCCTCCTTCGCATGCGCGAATTCTCACGATGCAGATCCAACTGATTGCCCTGGTGCTGGGCCCCGAGCGCAACGTCCAGGTCAGAAGATTGACTTTGCCTTTGTGACTTCTCCCGGCTGGTTCGATAGGATGGCCAAGAATCTGCGCCTGCACAGTAGCGGAGTGCACCCTCTTTACCCCAAGGCAGCCAATCAGGACCGGCCTAGTGTTCACTCGAGCGACGAAGATCTTGGGGTGCCCTTTGATGTCCCTCAACAACCTGTCCACTTCTCCAACCTCGATTGACAGTCTTCTCCCAGTGCAAGTGATGGAAGCTTGAAACCTGTGCGGCCAAGCCACGTGTCGCTCATGCGTGCGCCGGTCCGGAGCGAAGTGGACAGGCCGATGCAAGCGAAAGGATGAGGACATCTGGCCAGGACGAGCCGAGAGACTTTACGACGCTACGAGTTTGCTCTGGCCTGTTGCACAGGCTCAAAGTTGTCCAGCACTTCACCTGCAAGCAGCCAAATGCACATCTTCTGAACATGGGGTGCCAGATTCTAGGCATTGAGCACCTCGAACAACCTTTGCCATTGCGCCATTGGACGCAACAACCTTCACAGAGACCTGCGACTAACAGGCCATGAGGCAGCAAGCTTAAGCTTTGTAGACCATCGCCCTCGCCAAAACGATTTAAGGCACTTTGTTGGACGGGGACACGAAGAGTTCCATGTAACCCGCTCGGACACTTTATTTCTGTGTGACTTGATGACTTCTCAAGGGAGCGGATGAAAGCTGGCAAAAACAATGATGCTACGTCTGCTCCCTTTCAGATTGGACAGCTTCTTCCAGTCTCAGGTTTGCATTCACTACTTCAACATGGCCCTGACAACGCCATCAAACGTCCGGGGCTTTAACAGAAAAGGTGGACTTGCTCCCTGAACCCGAAACTGGCGTGAACAGCCTCTACCTTGCATAAGGAACACTGCTCACTGCACATAGCCCCACAAGCTCTCCCCTTACTCATTGTATACAGTACCCAGGCATGCCGTGCTGCAAAAATCAGCTCATATGCCACCTGCTCCTTGAACTCGATGTCATCGTCAACATGTTCTCCAGTAAGCTCTTGCTCCTTTCTCTGGTCCTATCCAGCTGCGATTGAGTCACTCTGATTGGCCTCCAGCTTTTTTCCTGCCTCCATGTTCTCGGCTTCTCTGGGAGCATGCGGATCCTCAAAGAAGGTTGTGATCACCTCAAGGCTTGAGCTGCGCATAGCTGCGCATAGCTGCGCGCCTTAACTAGCAATTCATTGCTCGGTCTCTTGCCTGGCCACTGCGGGTGTGCAGCACCTCCGCCATCCCAAGCCCGTGCGCAGGAATGTGACAGAAATTCTATGACGATCCCTACATACCCATAACCATACTGCAGCATGTATGTTCATTCCCCCAGCCACCCTTGAGCACCAGTTAGCCTGGCAGTGCTGCAAATCACGGGGCCCTGGCTCTCTGTTGACGGTCCGCGGCAGCCTCCAGCACCTGCCCACACAGCGGAGTATGGAGACTCTAAACAGGGGATGATATAGGAACTTCATCATCTTGTAAATCCATGCTCATGTCGAGAACCGAAACCAATGAAACCCTCATGACGCATGGCAGTCCTGCCAGTCACCAGCGAACCTGTCAAGTTCAATCTGGCCTTGGACACTTCTGGTGCAATTCCATCAAAGTCCTTGCAACAAGTCCGCCAATGTCCAAGCTGACAGCATTGAGGCGTGAAGGGCTCTACACTGACCTATCGCTTTTGCTGAGTGCACAAAGCATGCTTCAATCAGATTTGGAGGGCTCGTCGCCTGCAATGCCCACACACATCCCCAAGCCCCTTCATGCAATTCAGCTGGGCGGCTGTCACGGCCCTCTCATCAACCTGAGCGAGGAGGAACAGGAAAGAACCGACATCAGACTCAGCTGAACAACAACGATGTATGCCCGATCTCGCACAAAAAAAATGTCAGCCCGTGACACGCACAGACGCAGCGCAGCCCATGGTTTAAACAGGCGCAGCTGGCATGTATGAGCCATGAAGGCTTCAAGCCGCGTTCTCAACACCAACATGAACAAGACGCTCGTACTCAATGGCAGCACTTGTACTCTCCACTGCTTGTTTTGGAGACACACGGTAGCCTGCCCCAAGGTGGGAAAGGTCTTGCCCCCAGTTGTACGTGTCTGCCGGGCACACAATTTGCACCACTCAAGCGCGGCCTGGGCAAGCTCCTAGGCCAGGTATTTAAACACACTCGCTCACCGGCACGAGCCATTCACAGGCCGCTCCTGTGAAAAGAGGACCTCGCGAAGTATAGGAAGCTTAAGCGCAACTCGAGCAGAAAGCTGCTCATGCTCAAAACCCATCTAAAGTCTGAATCCCGATTTTCTTGGCTGGCTGGAGGAAATAGCGCATCACCTCGACTGGTCGAAAGCATCCTTCCTTGCTGTTTCCTCATGTATGATGATCAGGGGCAGCCATTGGCTTAGCAGCGGCAGCCCAGAACTCCATCCGAGCTGGCGCTGGCTGCTGCCAGTCAAATCTGTCGGGTCTACTCTCTGAACCGCCAAAGCCTCTCAAACCTTAGCTTTGCCTTGGTATCATTTCTTGCATAGCTCAGTTCAGTGGTGACTTGAGTATCAGCAAACTCTGACAGCAAGCAGAGGCTTAATGACCCTTATTCAAAAAGAAAAAGAGAGCTACGCAAAAGCCACGCTGTGCATCAGAAATCATTGCAATCCGCAAAGCTGGTCCATGGAATCGCGATACATACCGCTCAATGCACAGCAGACGGCCCCATAAATGGCGGCGCTGGGGACAAGCGCCCTGGACCATGGTCCCAGCCCTGGCTCTCTTGCTTCTGCAAGTCAGCCGGCCTGGGCCCCGCCCGAGAAAATTCACTCGCGCATAATCCCCTCCACCTAATATTCATATGATATACGGCAATGGGAATATACTGGGAATATGTAATTAGTACTAGGGACATGGGGGCTTTTAATACTAGGGGAGGGAATTAATTGCACACTGCCGGATTACCAGCTCCATTGAACTGCGCAGAGCGAAAACAAACTCTAAGGGTATGGCTGGAGGCCAGGACATTCTGCCTGGAACCTCGAGCTATGCCGCTGGACGAGATTCTGTACAGATCGGTGGCACGGGGGCCGGCGGCGTGGTTTTGAAACACGAGACTCTCCCGGCAAGATGGAAGCGGACTGCTTAACTAGCCTAGCCTTTGCATGTCTTCATCCATATCTGTTGAGAAAGAGACCTATGCTTATGCGCGAGAGCCTCAGGAGTCGAAACAAATTCCTTGAAATTTAACTTAAACACCTCGGACTGTGGGCACTGGCCTGACGCTGCTTTTACGAGAGCCAGGGATGAGACTCCATCATGCATGTACATCTTAACTTCTTTTCTGCGGCTAAGCGTTTGCTGCACTTCGCTGCCGCAAATCGTCTTTACCGGAAATGATTGTCTCAGTCAATGCCCACTGGCCCAAATTTAGAAACCACAGCTCATCACACAAGGCTGCATGCTCTTTTGGCTCGTGCCTCTAGCGACCTCTCATGTTCAACAACGTTTGGAGACATTTGCTGGAAGTGATTTCGCGAATCGAAGCTTTTAACAGAAGAGCTCCAGCACAAAAACAGATAGACAGCCAGCCTCGCTCCGTGCAGCTTAGTCAGCACGGCGCCTCAGCGCGAGTTGACAGCTTTCCTCCTCTTGAGGTTACCCTGGACCATGAAATAGCATGGAGCTGCCCCGACCTGCTGCGGACAATGCCACTGAAGGTCCGCGGTGCCAGCTCGACATCCTCATAGGTTGCCAAACTGTGACGCATCAAGCAGGATGCGAAGCCACGGCAACTCTGACAAGTTTGCTGTGAACTCACATCTGCGCATACGATTAGCCCAACATGGTGCTCTACTTACTGTTCCTTCATCTTGTTGTGGTCTGCCTAGTATTACTCTTCCTGCCTGCAGGAAGCGGTTCATCTTGCGCACCTTCCCCAAGCTCCGACAGCTGTGGACATTTTGCTGCTATCCGTATTTTGGTATTTTGGGCACCGGAGTGGAACGAACCCAGAACATTTGAACATTTCAAACGAGAGGCGTGACGCTCATGAAGGCGTCGATCTGGTTGAATGATGGTTCCTGCACGGTCTACTAACACACCGTTAAAAAAAAATCTTACTATATCCTCGGCATGCAGGTGCGCCGATGCTAAAGTTTGCACACTGTGACTGGGGTAGGCTTCCCTGCAGGAGCTTTCACAAGCAAATTGACATACCACCCCCATGGTATTGAGAACTTCTGTCGAAGTGACTCTTCTGCATAGGGCCTGGCGGCAAATCACGTCGCCAGGATGCACTGTCCCAGGAGGAGTTCACCTCATCTCACCCTAGGGGGGCCTATTTCAGTCAGCGTTATCTACAGTAGTAAATGTAAGCGGGCTCTGGCTCTTGGGCTTCGCCCCCGTAATCTTCTCCACATAGCTGACATGCACTGTGGTGCACTCTCCGATCCAGTTGGTTGACACAACATGTTCCGCGTGGACTCGGTTTGGAGGGGAAACCGAAGTCGGGTCATTGGAAATGTCGGGTCATTGCTATCATTGGGCAGTGCTGGCGTAGACGCCGCAATTCTTCCCCTGCTTCTCGGACTGGTAGCGGAAAGCATGGACAGATAAACTATCCTTCCGGTTTCCTGCATCTGGAAGACATTACTGTCTCCTTGTATGGCAGATTATTGCTGTTAGAGGGGTGCAGGAGTGTTGGGAAAGCTCCGGACCCACGAAAACGGCAATGCGCATGACACTCGGGCAGGCAAACGCATGTTCGGAACTGGCTCCTCTCTCAGGAATCTTTTCAGGTGCTCATAACCTGAAGAAAGCTAGGCAAATTCAAGCGGAGCACATCTCCTTCAGTTGCAGAGCCCAGCCGCGCGTTGGTGCGGAAGCAGGGAAGGGCGGTCGGACTTATTGCTACGGGGACAGTTTGCAGCTCAGCGGCCGTGTCCACCGTCGAGGCAGTCTCACAGGGTTGCTTCAGGTTTCAAGCTGCATCCAGGGGTCGCTGCATTTTGCTACGCGTGAGGCCAGCTTCAGGCTTCAGGGGTAGCTCATGGAGTAGAATCGACTTGTGACGGCAGCCGACACATGTGTTTTCCACGGTGCCTCCTTGCTCGTGCTAGTTGCACGCACGAAGTCACCATCAGGGAACGTGATGATTGCCTGTCGCAGAGTACTTCAGACAGTACGTACAAAACAGAGATCTGAAACCCAATACATTTCCCCTCCCGCCCTTTCCCTGGTTCCGGTGGCAACTGACGGCCTCCCATCTATAAAAGAAACATCAATCTAACCTCGTGACTCATGCAGGCAGCGGAACAAAGTTGAAAATGGGGGGGGGTCCTCTTTTCACGCCCCCAAACATGGATCTCCCATGGTCTTTTTGAAACCTTTTTCCCTCTCAACAAAGAAGAGGTCGTAGGTGTCACATGCCAGCTAAGACATCATAATCGCTTTAAGCCAGGTGCAGGCATAACGCTCACAGCCTCAAAATCATCCTCATCCTCAATCAACGGGTGGGACGGCTTGTTGTAGCCGCCGCCCATCTCCCCACTCAGCGCCTCCTCACGCACACACCGAACAGCAAGAATAAAAGGCGTGGCACTTCAGATCATGATATGTGAGGATTCCCGCTTAGCCTCTGGCCTCCGGAAAATCCGGCATCGGTGGCTTCAAGAAGGACATGCGACTGAAGTTGGGAGGAGCCGGCGGTTGCTCCTGGACTAATGCTTTCAAACCTCAGAACTTAGCACTGTCAAGACCGTGGAGGACCTCAGCGATCGGTACGGGAGGCTTTCTCATGCACTGATCGCCCAAGTTGGGGCCAACCTTAGCTGTTTCTTTTTCACGGGTGGAATGGCGAGTGCACGAACGCAGCACGACGGATTGCCTAATGATTGAACAAGCGTCCAGAAGCTGGGCACAACTGTGCAAGTGGGTGTCAGTGATTTCATACATTAACTAACACCTGCTGCAATACTACCTTGTTCAGCTACCGCGCACGCCAAATCCCTCCTTGATACAAACCAGTCTAAGAAGGAGCTGTACCATGTTCTGATATGAGTGAGACCACCAGGATACGAAGCATGTGCGGGCAGCACTATCTGAAATTGGCTGAAGCTAGTTGAAGAAACAAGCATATAACTCTGGCAGCGCCGCACAATCCAGCCCGCTCAATTCCAGACATGAATGCAGGTTCTCCAAGTCGGAATCCCGCTTTCGGGCCCCAAATGCAGGCAAGGGAATGAACCTTCCCAAAACATGCAAGCCGGTAGCGGAGACAGGTCGCTCCACGCTTCCCATGGCTTAATCCAGGAGGGAAGACTTAAAGACTAATCAGAAATCCTTGAGCCATGGGAACATCCGTTTCAGTAGGCGGTTTCGATCTTCTTGCAACCGTGGACACGTGGATCACTGATCTCTATGAAATGCATCAAGCCTGCGCTGTTGTGCCAGTTTTCCTGAATAAGTGCCTTGTCCCAATGTTGTCTTTAACCTGGCACGTGCTAGGCCACTGCGGACTTCTCCAACTGAGAAGGTTACCTTTACGTGGCGTAGATACTACAAGCTAAGCTGTAAGTAAGATGGCCCTGGCCTGGGCCTGCCAACGGATGAGACTGAGAGAAAGGGACCTGCCCTAAGGCTGTGCCGTAGAAAAGCTTTAGAGTCAAATTGCTTTAGAGTCTTTTTGCATTTCAAAACAGAATCGTTTGCACTTTGCACTTGAAACCAAAGCAGTCGCAGCTCTGGGCACATCCCATGTTGACAGCATCTGCATGTCGACCTGTTGAGGTTGCCTGGCACAGGCTCTTCCTGCGGCGGACTCCACAGCTTTGACACGAATGTTGACACATCACACCAGCCTTGACAGCCAGTCTAACTCGCAGCAAGTGGCAACGCTAACCGTGACTGCCTCTGGCATGTCATGGATTTCCATTTCCCAACAGCAGAAGAAGAGGGAAAGAGCGCACACGAAAACACGCCGTTAAAATGCGAAACCAGTTTGGCCGCTATGCTGAAAATTGACCGCAGCAATGCGTGGTTCTTGTCTAACTATACTTAGATTCTTGTCGGTGCATGCAGGCTGCACTAAGGACAGGTTGAACGGGAGCACTTTCTGTTTGTCCCTGCCATACTACCTAAAGGCCACAGAGACTACGCATTGCTATACATTGCAGTCAGCTGCTCAGGTTAAGCGGCCTGCTTCTTACGGGCAGGCCTTGGCAGCAGTGTACAGCAGTGTAGCTGATTGTCCGAATCATAGCTGGACTTGCAGGAATAAGCTCAGGTGGGCAAGGAGATCTATGCGGATAGAATTGACAATGGCAATCCATGCCAGCAGATCCAACACTTGAACATGCGGATCTCAAGTCTTACCTGTCCAACTGGACATCCTACAGCCTGAGTTTCTGCTCTGGTCAGGAAGCCTTATGCACGCTGTGATTTTGACTGCCTGCCTTGTGCCACATGTAGCTGCATCAAAAATGCATAGCCTGAAACTCAAGCACATGCCTTCTGTTGAAGGCCTTCGCGCTGTTCAAACTCAACCGTCCTGCTACAAGCATCCCAGTTCGCTTGACTGAAGAGTCGTAGATTCACTGATGGACCATGCACATCTGACAGCACGGCAACACGGAATGTGCATTCTTCACACAGCATTACGTACAAGAGAGCCTTCTAGTCTAGACTCTGGGGGATGTCCCCTAAAAGAAACAGCAGCGCAATACCATCAGTGTCACACGTCTCTATCGCCATGGCAGACTTGAGTTTGAACTGCAGCGGGACTAGCTAACGAAATGTTCAATGAAATGATAAAAGGAGAAACGAGTTGGTCTTGCTCGGTACAACCCTACCTACCCACGCTCGCTGCACTGACCACGCTGTCCTTACACACTTGGTTGGCAACGTCGAGCTCAGATACTGTAGAAGCCCAAAGATTTTTCTAGATTTCTGCATTGTAACCTATATGTGTAAAATGAAGTACTCAAAACCTTATTGAAATTACCTAGGCGCCTACACTACAGCTTCTCAAAACGGTTCATGACTAATCCTGAATCCGTGCACTTGCATTGCACACTGCAAATCAAGCGCTCGGGCGTTGCACCAAGGGAAGACAGTAGGGCATCCAGGCAAGTTTCAAACTGAGAGCGTTGTGTAAACAAACGTCTGTCCAATGGTCTTATCTAGGCAAGTCTCAGGAATTCACTTAAAGCTTCCTGAGATTCATCAATGGAAAAAATCCTAGATATTGTCAATCGAAACTTGACTCGGCAGCGTTTTGGCCTGGGGCTGGCAAGAGGCATCCATGATGGATCTCCGGGCAACATCTCCCAAGTACTAGGTAGTGTTTTCTATGACAGTAATCCGAGCAGACTGTAGCGAATTACGTGGTCGGCCTAGTTGTTTTCCTGACTGGCCCTCTGTGCTAATTCAAAGAGATTCTGGCCGCACAGATCTGTTTCCGCACCCGTCTTCTTCTGCTGCGGAATATAATCTGACAGTGCTGCGTATCGGAAGGGAAATAACTCAAACCTCTGCTTGAGGAGGTGGGCATGTGCTTCTAGTTTAAGTAAAATGCATGTACATTAGGGCTGAAACCAGGAGATCCAACGGCGACACACTTTGTTGCAAGATAACCGCTCAGAAGGACAAGACCACGTTATCCCCTGACCAGCGCATGCCGGGTCAGTGGGGCTGTTGGAGCACATGAAAAGGGTTCATTGAAAGAAACGAAACAGCCGGGTGAACAGCAGACCCAGATTTGCAGCCTCGGTCTCCCTCGCCGGGCTCCCCCCCAAAAGGAAGTCGCCTCCCAAAGCAGGACATGAAGATAAGTTCACCCAAATCCGAACAAGGCCTTTTGCCGACGATCTCCCCAAGGATCTGCGGTCGACGCTCCACGTCAGACAGAAACTTGTTCAACTTCTTCACCTCTCAAAGGATGAGGTGCAAGGTTTCAAACTGCTTGCTCTGCAAAAACATGCTGACAGTTAGTGGCAGCAGCAGCGGCAATGATGAACTTAGCGACTTGCAGCTGCCACGGCACATGCTTCTCATGCAGCCGTCTCGTGGGCGGGCGGCGGACGACCAGGCCCTCCTTAGAATTGAACACACAGGCAAAGGGCAGGCCGCAAGTAAGCCGTCTATAGACAAGTCACCACCCTCTCATAATCCACACAGATCTTCATTAACGGCAACCACGCTTCTGGCACAGCAATCGGCGTCTTCTCAAAATCCCAGGAGGAGTCCAAGTCCATCAGCTCCACCTGAGTTCCGTTCATTGGATAAGTCAACCTGCAACCTGCCAGGATCCGCTTTGGGGCTCATTCTCAAGCTGTCAAAGGAAGTTAGCGAGGCTGCGGCGCCAGCGCGGCTGACCTGGGAAACCGGCGGATAGGGCGGCACTGTGAGTGCTTGACGTGAACGTTGAAGCCTCCAGCATAGGCGCCCTCCGCTTTCTGCATGGACCACAAAAGCAAGACTGCCTTGGTGCTGACGCTTTGTGTCTCCACATCATCTTCTTCGAAATGCTTCACCTCCTGCCAGTGGCTTCATCTGATTGACTTGCCCTTGACTGTTGTGCATGCAGACGATGCGTCCTGCCTTGACAGGCAGATCAAAAGCTGTCTTGGGGCTCTTGCTGCTCTTTGCAAGCACAACCTCAGCACGTCAAGCAAGCAATACAGAAGCTTTTTTGTGTGCGCTAAGCCTGCGCTTCCAGGCCCTTCAAAATGCCTTTTTGAGTCCTCTGCTTCGGCTTCCTGCGCGCCAGTCGAGCTGGCACAACCCATGGCTTCAATACGCTGGCCTGACAGGGTGGCACGGATGCAGAAAAGGGCTTTTTGGCTGAGAACGCACTTCAAACGCCTTTGTGCATATCTGTACTTTTGCGGGAACAGCCACAGCAACAAGCAAATGCATGCGCTCACGCGGCCTCCAGCCAACTCGAAGCACTAGGGGCGAAGGCTGAGCTTTGAGCTGAGCCAACACTACTGCGAGCTCAAACTGCCCAAGCTGCTAGGCAGACAGGACTTTGCTGAGCGCTTGAGGCACTATGAATGTGTGGTAGTCATATTAATTTACATAGTAATACAGTCAACGCACTGGCAACAGGGGCAGTCACCTGACATTCCCTGAACTCCGAGAGGAAGTACCGTTGTAGCTGTGTATCCGGAGAGAACAAGATCCGCAACTGCTTTCAGGAGAATATTTAGCTCAAAAGAAACGCGAAAAAAAAGCGTCTGCGTGGCACCTCCAGCATGCGGAATACCCGATGCAGCTTTTCCTTGACCTGATGGTCATCGATACGAGCAACAGCAAGAACCTTGGAAGTTTCTTACAGCAGGTCCTGCCTTGTGGCGGAACCATTCACCTGACAAAAGCCGGACATTTGCTCAAGCCTGAAAGACATGAATTGCAAAGCCAAGGAACGCTTTGCATCATCGTAGTACCAGGAGGCCGTCCAAGCAAAACTGCGCCTCGCCTCACGGACAGATCAAGGACCTGAAGCCCGAACCCCTAAACCCTGAAACCGAAGTCAAACCCAGCCTCTGAATCCAGGGCCAGCTCAAGGGCCACTCGCAGCAGTGCCTCGTGGCAGGGTGTCTCCTGGGCAGCAAGTGCGGAACCCACTCCAGTCGAAGAGGTTTACCCATACTTGCATTGTGATGCAAGCAGGGCTTCTTTTTTTTTCCTTTCTGCTGGCACCACTTAAACATGCTTTGCGTCTCCAGAAGAGCGTGCTGTGGCAAGGTTTCGTGTACGTGCTCTGAGCTTCCGGGCCAACTGCAAGAAAATGGCTTGCGTCACACCTTGCAAGGCTTTGCAAAGATCTGGATCACAAAACCTCTTGCTACATGCAGCACGGCCCTGCGCAACGCCAAGGCACTCATGATGCGCGGGAGGTCCGCCATCCGGCCCATCCAATCTTGCACATCAATGACCCTGTCAAGCAGACAGCACCCTCTGAGACTCTGGTATGCTCTGACCATAACCAAAGCTGTGCCTTCCAGACGGCTTGTTGGCCACTTTTGCCTGAAATCCCAACTCAAGGAAGGTTCAAACGCGTAATCAGCCATGGAGCCCGCTTGTTCTACAGTCTTTCTGTCTTCATCCTGCATGTGCACCTTGCCTTGCTTTTGCCGCGAAGCACTCTGAACCGGGTTCCAGTGTCCAACATGGGCTCAGGCCTCAAAGCCTTGGGCATTGTAACAGTGATTCTCGATAACTCGTATGTGTGACGTTAGGGAGTAGGCTGATAGAATCTTCTGCCGTGCCTGCAAGTCTCTGCCCTGCCAACGTGTCATTGAGGATTCTCCCACTGAAGTTTGGGGGAAACATGTGTAACAGCTGGAATAACTCATGAGCCAAATGCACCAGCCGAATGCGTCGAGGGTCTTCATTCTGTCCACGTGTAACCCTGAGTCTTACCACACATTGCGGGACAAAACGGTGCAGCCGTGGCAAGTTTTTTGCACATCTGAAGGCATCGCGGCGCCGAAGTCACGCTCCGCAAAGCTGTACCTCAGCCATTCCAAGCAGGCCTTGTCCTAGCCTTGAGGGTGAGCCCGACACAGCCGGCAAGCATCGGCAAATATCGGCAAGTAGTCTATCCTCCTTTTCCGGCCACGGGCTTTCTGCAAACAAGGCACTTGCGCACAGCGGCCTGTGCCAGAGAGGGGAGATTAAGAAACCTTAGAGGAAAGTATTAAAAAATAGTTACTGTACGAATCGCTGCCTGAGAAGTGTCCCGAGAAGGCCGGGCCGAGCGGCGGCTCTCCTGTGAACGGAAAGACACGCAAAGATATTGCAAGCACTTGACAGGTCAGGAAGGGCTCGGCCCTTGCAAGAAGTAATCTCGTGTGTCTCTCGAGGATTGCGAACAATGCTATGCTCTTGTGTGTTTTCGGGAAGTTTCCATGATACTTGTCCCCTTAAACGATAGTCCTGATTCTGGGGACAGGCAAGTAGGGCACCCTATTTGAAACTTCCGTATCGATACCCAACCTCGGTCGAGACTTCGCCGTTGGTCGGCGGCAGCATGCCATCTTCCTCTGGTTTCAGGCTATTCCCCTGTTCAATCAGAATGTGTTTCAAGCAGCTACAAGTACAAGCATTGCAGCGCCAAAATTTTGTACGGCTCCTCGTTAGCACTGACATAGGCTTCTCCTGGCGGTGTGGCCTGCTTCAAGCCAGTCCATCAAGGAATGCATACAATCTGCAGTGAGCCCTATCTTGGCAAAAGCCCAAATTCTCAGGGGTGCCACGCCCCGCTATAGGACCGCAATATCCTATGATCCTTAATCACCTTAACTCCCATTCCCATAAGAAGAACGCCTTGGGATGTAGGTTTAGGGTTTAGGGTTTCCTAACTCTGGGAACTTTCACTCCCATCAGTACAAGGCCTCGCAGCCGGATGGCTCGGATGGAGGGCTTGGGGTGCCTTGGAAGCTTTGCAGTCATGATACTAGCAATGAAAGAGTAGCGAAAGTAACTACAATAATAACAATAGTAATGCGAATAGTATTCGCAATAATAATAACAGTGTCTGCATTATGATACTGTTATGAATATTTCAGCTGTTGAGCAGCTGACAATGAGACACGGTGCAAAGCCTGCATTACCATCACAACATCCCTATTTCATGTTTTGGGCCCGAACCAGTCACCATCTCACCTCAGCTTGCGAAGGGCGCAAAAGGCAGAAGACACTAACAGCTGCTTGTTGCAAATCCCAATCAAAATCAGGTAGAATCCTAAGAATATGGGCGTGCAGGGAATATGTAATTTCCTCGTACTGGTAGCTTGATTGAAGTTCCTCAAAAGCAACGCCGAATCTGGCAACCAGGCGACCCAAGACGTCTTGGCAAGCCTGGAGTGTTCGAAGCGCTTCCGCCTGTGAGCTTCAGCTTACTTCACAGAGCAAGGTAGGCATGTTCTGAAACACTATCCAAATCAGTAGTCATCCGAACCTGCAGGATGTCACCTGGTCACAAATACACTCCCAGTTTCCATGGTGTTTCCGATATTCTTTCCATTTGATTCTCCATCATTGGGCGATAAGTTGAATTTCCGCTACCTAGCCCATGTTGTAGACCCCTAAACCCTCATGGGCCCCGTATGGCCCCGTTAAGGGACTACAAGCTGACCTCCATAATTTCGTAGATATCCCCATGGTCCTTGAGGGACCCCTTTTGAGAAACGCTCATAACAGGAGTCACGCAATGTTTGCTGCGCTCCTCGGCCCGCGCCGCCCGGCCGCGCCGCCGTTCGGCTTCCAGGGCCATGCTGACACCAAGGTCACAGTAGACAGTAGTAGGGTGGAATAAAAACGTAAGATAAGTTCTCGTTACCTTTACGAGTGCCATGCGGTCCTGAATTTGGAGTTTAGTTCTTGTTGCAGAAGAAAGAATAATAAGTAGAATGGTCGTAGTAATGGTAATAGTAGGGGTAAGAGTGACAGCAATAGTAATGATAATGATGAGTGATCGGGCAGATTCCAAAAACCCTCGTGTTGGCTTCAAAAGCTTTTGGGGCCAGCCTCAACGATTTGTTTGCCTCAAGCAGGTGCGCCCGTGCCATTCTGGCAATCTTCGCCTCCTCCTCCAATGCGAACTGCAGCGCCTTCAGAACTGCCACCGCTTTCTATTAGTTGGGTGTCCCCAAGTTGCGTAGAACATCTGTCGCTCGCACGAATGAAATCCTGGAATACGAGAACTGTTTAAGCGCTCATGATAGTTTCTGCGTAATTCCCTACATCGATTTTTCAACGGAGCCACAAGCACTCAGAAGCTTCAAGCAGCAGATGTTTGCCGTGTTACCAAACACATGCCATGCTGTGTCAAGCTTGCCACAGGGACAGACAACCGCGACAGTTCACGATCTTCTGCATTGCTTCCGACCGTACGATCACTCACTCTGTAAGTCTGGCAGGGGAATACTTACACACGAGAGCAGGATGCCTGGAAGTCCTGCAGCTTTTCGCAAGCAGCGGAAAGGCTACTAGCACCATGACAACTAGCACGATCATTATCACAATTAATGCTCTTGTTTTCTAATCTGTTGCCCGGCTACAGCTTGCCTCGTCAATCTGGGCTTGCACGTCCGCCTGAAGCTCTGGCCTCGATTCCTGAAAGTCTTCTCGAAGCAGTAGTAACAAGGCTTGTAGTGCTGGTAGCCATTGCGATAAACACCGTTAGCAGCAGCAATAACAGGAGTAGTAGCAGCAGCTCGAGAAAGTGGGAACAAATCTGTAGGCCGGAAATCCTCGGCCACCTTCTGCGCAAGCTGTTCCTGGAGCTGCTCCAGCTCCAAACGCCTCAGGGGCGAGCCAATAGCAACCTTCAACTTACTAGGGCTTAAGAGAAAGTGGGGAAGCGAATACAGGGACTATTGTGGGGGATTGCAAAGGGATTGCTCGAAGGATCCACTCCCCACACTGCCCTGAACCACCAGTGAGTCCAAACCAACCCCAGTCCAAAGAAGCTGCCATGCCAGAAAGGCGCAGCTCAAGCTCGCGCTCTGCTGCCAGGGCCGCCTGCTGCGCGAGCGCCAGCCGCAGTTCCTGCAGTTGATCGGTCGAATCGAAACGCTTGCCAACGCAAATTCCCACACTTTCACAGGCCTCCCGCTCTTCCCTGGCGCGGCCCACTGCCGCAAGCAAGTCTGCTGTTGTGCCCAAGGCGTGTGCTTCCACCTCGCGCCTGAAAATCTCAGACGACATGATGACATGCGTTCACCCAGAAACTCAGAGAAGCCGCAGAGAAGCCGCAGAGAAGCCTCAGCTCCACGACGATCTCCCGGAGTTCGGCTCCCAGCTCGGAGCCACCCAACCGGGCAGCTACGGTGGCCAGGCGCTCAGCCAGGCGGCCGAAGCCTTTGATGCTGTGATGAGGTTTTCAGACAATCAAAACACATGCGGAAAGCCGGCGTCCAGAATTGAACCTCGAGAGGCACCATCCTAAGCCTAAGCCTTTTGCCTGACCTCCCTATGTTGATTCTAACAGTGCCAATCGACACATGTTGTGTGTGTGTGTGTGCAAATGCCGCCTTTTGCTAAGTTCCTTCAACAAACGCACCGTAGCTATTACCACAAACCAGTGTGCCATGCTTCGCGTCACACAGTCGGGATGTCTTAGATCCCCCTGCCCAATGATGGTGCACGTGCATAGGTCAGCCGGAAAAACTGTGCCAAGGCGCCAGAAGTTGCCATAGCAGGCAGCAAGTAATGCACACCATGGCCGGCATCTGCTCAAGTCTGTGCACATTGGTTCTAATTGGTGGTGACCTCACTGAACACCAGCATGAGCTTTCCCGATAGATTCCCCTTCCCATGTGGGACTAGATTGTTACATGCGTCGATGGCTTCATCCATTCTTTGCATCACGTCTTGGGTCGTCTACATCCCGTGAGGCGCCCATGCACAGGTAGTTCTCATCCTTGAACGCGTATAACGCTGCACACAGATGAATGTAAAATCAAGGACGGATTCAAACAGCAACAGCTGTTGTTGACAAGACTCCTGCAAACACCACTTCCTCCAAGCCATCTAGCTAGCATATGTCTTGCAGATGCGCGGGTCACACAAAGCAAAGGCAAGTACAATCAGAGGTTTACACATGACAGCTGCCAGAGTCCGTATGAGACAAAACCCTCAATGTCAAACACTGAAATCGAACCCTGAAATTGCATGCCGGTATTCACACAGTGTGAGCAACTTTCTGCTGATCCTCAGCCGTGGTGTATAGGGTTACCTTGCTTTGAGATGTTGAGACATGTTTCTCAGGTTCTACGAGGACGGATGAAAATGCATGTCCGAAATTCTACATCAAGTCTGTTGAATACTTCATGTCGTGTTAGGATTTGTACGCTTGAAAGCTGCTCCTTCGCATAGTGAGCATTACTCTGCCACCGATACGCTGCTTCTGTAAGCGGAGTAAATCATTTCATGCGGAAATTGGCCTTGCAAAAAGATCCAGCGGCAAACAAGTCGTGAAAGAAAACTATTCTCTCTTTTCCCGCACGAGCAGCAGGCCGTAAGGTCAAAACTGGCTGGGCTTTGCCGCAAGAGTTGCATCTCTCAATCGGAGACCTTGTTCCGGGATGCGAGGCTTTGGGCTTGGGGATTCAGAATTCAGAGTGTAAGATTAAGGGCACAGAACTTAAGAAACTTGAGGCTTGTTGTATTTACTCAGCTCGTTCGGAGGTGCGGGAAAAGTCTACGCCCTGAATGAGCAAAGGAAAAGCTTGGCAAGAAAAATGGACGAAAAGGCCCCTTGCTTCAAGTGCACCAAGCTCCTCGAGTCAAACTGGCTGAAGTGGAATTTCCGAGGCTCACTGATTCACTACGCTTTTCTTTGCCTAATTTGTTGTTTATGATGTGGGCAGGACGAACCTGGAAGTGACGTTTGGTGAAGGTCTTGGCAGGTGCATGCTGGTCCGACGTGCTTGGGGGTATACAAGCACAATGCATGCGGTATGTAATGTAATTGGACTAGAGCATCCTTCTGGTCACTCCCAGTATCTTCAAAAAGTCTACCACGACAACATCAATGACAACCATAGGCAACAACAACCACGTGTGGTGCACAGCAAAAAGGTCACAAACAACCAAAATTAACCACCGGCAATTGCAACCCTGTGCCTGCTTGGCCCCAGCACCATGGCTGCCATCATCCATCATGGTTTCGCACCCGCTCACTACCTCATGACCTTGCTCCTCTTCTGTCGAGCCATACAGACCAGGTGACATCTGTCGAATTACTCTTGCACAATCGAGACCTTACTACCTGACCATATAGCGTACGTCAATTCCAGCACGCCGTCGAAAACCACCAAATCCAAATGGCACACGTTCTTGAACTAAAGAGGTGACTTCCAGCCATGAGTTTTGACATGAAATTACATAAGCTGAATTGGGAAAGTTAATCATTGTTTCTTCTTTGCTTCCAAACGGTCCCAACACACTTGACTCCAACCCCTCCAAATAAATGTCCGTTCCGCTCCTCCACTTTTCAAGGATCAGCCAGAAAAACAACTCTCGTTTTGCGTGCTTGTTTTCTTTTTCCATTATCTTGTTCCGCAATGGCGAACAGCATTGGGTCTCCATATGAATATCACAATTGCTGAGTAGACGAAAAGACTGTCACAGCCGCATCCCCTCACTGCAGAATGTTCCCTAGCTCATCACAGGCCACCTTCACTGCTGCAAGAAATCTTATTGAGACTACTCTGCACAGTTTGCTCTAATTGCACCTCGGGAGTTGCAGCCTTCGTGTACCCCAGCCAAGCGGCTGCACGTCATCATTAGCGTTCAGAGTATCCCTAGTCTTTACAGAGGCAATTCTCATTCTAGTCTCAATACCTACAACCCGATCAAAATTTGTACAGACGCAAAGATTCAGCGTTCCTCCCGCTGCACAAATGCTGAGTGCAATGCGGGGCCGAGGCAGACGGCATAGCAACTGAGCACAGTAGTGCAGCTCAGAAATCTGCCTTTTTGATTGCCGACGAAAGCGGCTTTAGCCGGGCTTTAAGGGCGAGACCAACTCTTGCCACAACCGATGGCCATAACGCTGACCACGGTCTTGCGGTCAGCACGGATGCTTTTAGGTGCAGCCAAGCAATTCACAGCACTCACGCTGGTGAAAAATCTCTGCCGAGGCCCCAGTTTGGACCAAAACCGGAGAAAACACGGGTGCCCGCTAATACCCATCTTTTGGGCCAAAGCGAGTTTTGCGATTCTCCACCATTTGGCGGAAGTAAGCTTAGTCCTTCGCTACTGGAAGAGTTTGTTGGTGGTGGACAAAAACCCTGAAACGAAGAGAGACTATGCTTTCCCCGTGTGCCCAAACATAGGAATACATACTTATATATATGCATATATATCCTAATGCAGTCTGGAACAAAAACATTTTGCGGATTTACAGCCGTTTTTTTGTCCGCGTGGGCGCTACTCTTAATTCCGGAGTCAGTCGCCAGTAAGACACAGATGTTAAAGAAAGCACAAGACACTAATTAGGCCAATGGAGACAACAACAGTAATGTCCATTTGTTAACTCGTGTCTCTGGCAGGCCAACTAATCTCCAGCAATCAGCTTGTGTGAGCGCCATGCGTAGTTTAGCTTTCCTGCCGTTGGCGCAACGAATATCCTTGCAATAACATTGCAATAAAACAGTTGTACGACAGCAGAACTAACAAGCATAAACGCAATTCGATTCCAATAGTCGGAAGAAACCTAAAGAATCAACATAATAAAAGTTTGACACTTATACTACATCAAAGACCGATACTATGCGCCAAAGCACCTAAGATTGCAATGTGTTGCGGCTTTGGTGAAACTTTCGCTGCCGAACCAAGTAAAAGAAATAAGGAAAACATAGGTTACATATCTTATAGACGTTTCCCCAATTTCTCAAACTTGTTTCGCACTACGTCATCGGGCATGGGACTCAGGTTTCCCAGCGTCTCCATAACCCGGAATTGCAAGCTAACCTGCTACTTGCCATCAGACGTGGGAGTCAGGTTTCCCAGCGTCTCCACCGCCTGGAATTGCACGCTACTTAAAGGGGGTGAGGGTAGGGGCCCGCGGCCCCATACCGTTCATCTCCCCAGTTGGCAGGACTTGGCAGGGGCGTGCGCGCAACTTACTGGGAGGATGTCGCCTCCCTTTGAACGTCTCTTTGAGCATCTCTTGGAGCAGTGCATAGTTCTGCCCGATGGCTCATTATTAAACGGTGGAGGTTACAGATATCTCCACGACGTTTGAACGGTGCTCTGAGGATATCCGGGCTCGGAAGGCGTGACTGCGACGGTCTCTTATCGACGGTGATAAGGAGCGGAAAATCCTCTCGACCAGCATGGACTTCCTGCAATGCGAGGTACAACTCATCATGCTCGAGTTGTTCTGGCAGCGGGCATAGTCGGCCCTTGGCAGTTACAACGGTAAGAGAGGAGCCTTTCCCGCGGTATTGCTCGCAGGCGAGTAATTTTTGCGTGAGCTCAGCTGCCCACGACACATGCAGGGGCTGTTGCCACGGGACTTAAGGTCCTTAGGGTCTGAGGGGGAGGTTGCCCCAAAGGCTGTTGGAGAGACCAGAACTGACTGGCAGGTCTCATTGATGTGGAACGGCCAGTAAAGCTGCACCTGGCTCCCTTCAGACCTTGTGACCGAAATTAACGTCCTGTCAAGAAGGTAAACTCCGGGGATGACGCCCACCCCGTTGGTGACTATCCCTGCAGCGCAGTCTCTGGACAGATGATTCTTGTTGTATATCATAAAGGGCGGGCAGTTGGCTACCGTCCATCCTTCTTCCGGGATCTCAACCTCACGCGGCACCCGCGCTGCATCTGCGCTAATCCCGCTTCTGGCCCCTCTCTTAGGATTAGGTGCATTCCTGGAGCGCTTCACGGCCGGCATAGGATCTATACGGTCAGCCTGCCATTCAGCATCTGTCGCTCCTAGCTGGCGCTCTCGATTCTGGAAAAGCCCAACATACGGGCTCGAGGCCCATCCTCTAACGCCTTTTTCCTCGTGATCTTCCATCTGCACTTCGCTTTGCGGCTCTCCATGCAATTCAGCTCGTCGATCGACCTCGGGCGGTCTTTTCCCGAGATGGCTGTTCTTAGCAAGATACATCACTTGGAGATGCTGCATTGCTTGACCGTCCATATGGATCAGTTCGACAGGGAAGAGGTTCTCCGCCAAGAGTCTACAGGGGTGCGGCGCATACGGCCCTGTGACTAGAGCGGCTGCCCCACCTGTTTTTTCCAGTTCTCTTAATTGCTTTAGGGTAGTGCCTGACGGTGGGATCTCCACATATTGGAGCTCCCGTGGAGCAGCCTCCCAGTAGTTTGGCTTAAGAGGCGGGGCAAGG